TGTATGAGCGTCAAAAAGAACACGAAAGTAATACTGGCGGTGAAATCACAAAGGATTGCATTTGGCGTACCGTGATGTGCAGGCGTGGTTTACATATCGCTTTTGCACTTCTTGCTTTTTCAGTTCACAACTAATTGTCTTTTCTGTTTGAAAGTGCAAATAGGTATGTTATTTTCAAGCCTATTTAGGTATTCGCTTAGCTTAAGCTTACGTCAGATTCCTGCGGGTGACATTTTTAAACAAAGACAATACAGCCTGTTTCAATAGGCGTTAATGCACCAACATGTTAGTTGCTTCTAAGCTGCTCGAGTCTCCAAAATACTTAACTTGGTTTGCAAATGTTGACATTTCTCACTTTGCCATAGTTCATGAAAAATGGCCGTCGATTCTCTAATAGAAGTTCCATCTACCACACCCCCAATGGAATGCTCCAACGAGGCACTTGAAACGCTCCTATTTCTGAACCTTTGCTCTATCCCAAATTCCAAATGCGAAGTAGTTATTATTTGAATCGTTCAAATTTGCGTTTAATGTAACCTAATCTCTTTAAAACCTGTAGAAATTAGAAGGTTTGCTTTTGCCACAATAGGTCAAATGCCAGATGATGCATCAGGTTATGAGCGTTAAATGCACCTGCCATAATTGCGGTGTTTGATTGACACAGATGGACTAGAGCATTGGTTGAGCCTACTACCGCTAATTGCCTCACCTGGGGTATATCCTCAAGACTGGCTTACTTTGTCTTGGTTAGAGTCCTTTGAAATGCAAAGGCGACTAGACGCAACCCCAGTAGGCCACTCCCTTACAAGCGTTTGGGCGATTATGCGCAGAGTGCCATTTAAATTTCGTAAAAGACTACAACCCAATGTGAATGCGTGCATTAATGGAACGATCCCATGGGTTTTCTCATTTTATAGGACTGATGCGTTGTCGCTGACGGTTCGAATTACACAGTTAAGCGGTGCTCTTCGGGGCAAGACCCAAACACTATAATGTAAAAAATGCATGCACCCTTACTGTGACCAAGAAAGCGGACTGCTGAAGGCCATGATAAACCAAGTTTATTGGCGGGAGAGAGAGAGAGGGAAATGGCTCTGCGAAAAATAGAGAAAAGGAAGTAGTGCTCGTGGATTTTCAGAGTTCGTGAGCATACAAAAAGCAAGAGGCAAATTTGCAAGGTTCAACCAATGACAGTCGATGTTTCAGAGCCTGAGTAATCGTTGGCTCCTCCCCAAAAAGATGATTGCTCTGTCTGTCGGGGAGGGGAAGGTTAGGGCCAGGGACTGCGGACAATCTGGCCGTGTCTCCGTCGTGCCAGCGCTCTGCCAACAGCACGCTTGACAATTGCTCGGCTGCAGGTGCGCAGGGCGTTTTCGTCCTCAAAGAAGAACTTGGTGGTGAAATGGGGCGGAGTGCCACCATATTTGTACTGCTTCCTCTCGATATCGTCTAGAGGCGGGAGTTTATCCTCTACCATGGCTCTGGAGAGGGCTTTGGCCATCACCAAAACCGCAAGGTCCTCCGCGCTGCACAATAACTCCGCCTTCCGCTGAAGCTCCTCTGGATCTGCAGATTGCGTTATGCGAGATAAAACGGTTCGAATGGCAATTACAAGTCTAAGGTATTGCTGAAGGTTGAACAATATTTTTTCGTACTAAAGAAAAATACAGTAAACTTGGAGTTAATGTGTCACATATTTGACTTTCTTAACCAATGTTGTGAAGTTCGAAGGTTTTTTTAGTGCATCGCAAGCTGCTCCCAGTTTGCCAACCACCATGACAAAAATACCATCTGGAGAAAAACACTGCATGTAAGTTCAGCTGAAATAACCGTTTTTTACGGCACTAGACTTCAGATGAACATTTGCCTAAGTGGTGAATGGAGTACAGAAGTTCATGTAGATGATGATTTCCACTCATACTTTCCCCAGTCGTGGTGCAGATGTCAGACTACTTGAAGTATGCGATGATATAAATAGGGGGAAAGAGACACTTCATAGGTTAACACCGCACTGTCGTGTGTTCCTAATTTAATATTTCTTCCTGCTAAGCTGGAGAGCAGATAATGTTCCTTTTGCGGCGTTTTCCCATCCCATTTGCTTAATTCACCTTCCCGTCTTTATCTGTCTACTTATATTTCATTGTTCCTCCTTTGCCTCATTTTCTCCGGAATTAAGCTGCCACTTTTACTCTCCATACTTACGTGGACATTGGCTAGCTCGTCAGATGAAACGATTAATATCTCCTTGTTTGTTCTTTTTGGGTAGGGGGGCCCTCTGATGAATACGTCGGCACATTTTCAAAGAACGCGACGTTCCTGCGCTAACTGCTGCTTTCAGAAACAGTTGAACACGCATTGCGCGCTTTTATTAGGCCGCGGCATTAGAATAATTTTTTCGTTTAGAAATACGTTCTCGTCTTTTTCGTTCTCTTCCTTTCTTCATATCAAACTACCCTTTGCCCCATTTTGTCGAACTCCTTCTTCTTAACTCATTACGCACCCGTGGACCCGTGGAATGTGAAAGTTTCGTGTTTCGCATGGCTTAAAATATCTCCAAACTACGCCCTCACATATCTAGCTCTTAAAGGAGGTGATAAGAAGACCGCTCAGTCACACAAAGTGAAAAACATGCAGACTTACTGAAAATGAACCTAACGGTAAGACTGATACAAAAAATTCTGAAAGGTAGTCGTTGAGACGTATCAAGTATCAGTCAAAAGTGTGCCATATGTGAGACAGTTTTGTTGATGAACTGTTATTACGAAGCCCCAGGATTAACAACCCCAGCCAAAGAGTAAGATTAAGAATTATCAAAAGCTGGTAAGTTTTTCTACGAATCGGACGTATTTTCATTTCTGCGGGTTTGTTCAGGATTAGGTCTCTATCAGAAAATATTGTCAGTTTCATCCATAAAGGCAAGGAGACAGCGATAAGGGAGGTACCTCAGTCTTTTGTAGGTCACATGTACAATATGTTTTTGTTAATTAAGGAGCTCAACAAGCAATAAAATGGATAAACAAAGGCGTTTTCTAGTCTGCCTTATATGAAATTATGATTTTTCTTCAGATTGTCACGTCGACTACCTAGAATGCAGTTTTTATCTTTATCCGCAGAACAAAATTCCGACTTGTAATATTATGCATCAGGGAGTGGTTCCTGATAATTAATGAGCACAGTGTCCCGTTGTCGTCCTGCGAGTGACAAAGCTGCCTATTCTCGATAAGCATCACTGACAAAGAGAAAAGGGACCAAAATAACACTTTTAGGTTCTTCTGCCGTTGTTAACCAGTCAACTATGAGCCGATGACAGCT